TTCATATCTCTGGTGAACACAATCTTATCTGGCCCAGTGAACTGGACATCATATATTGCTTTTCTCATACCTAGTTCTCTCAGTAATGCCCACCCCTCCTTTATAGTCCTCCAGCCCCGGCTAATCATGTTAGTCTCTCTTGGTGACAACCATGTATCTTTAATGCCTTCAACCAGCCATCCCATTAAGGACTGCTCCCCCCTTCATTGGCCTAGGTTGAGCAGCCTATATCACAAGGACAGATGGGTAGTTATAGAACGCAGCTGTGACACTTCTGAAAGACTTAGACTGATGTCATTTGCTCCCATGTCCCATACTCTCACAAGCCACGTGGCTATGGGCTCTCTACCTGTAAGTTTTTCCTTGTTTTAACAGGTCCATCATGGAGTTTCCTAGCAACTCCATGTTCTTCTGAAGAACTTCGACTCACGTCATTTGTTCCCATGTCCCAAACTCTCACAAGCCACATGGCCAGGGGCTCTCTGCTTGCTTGCTTGTAAGCTTTTCCTAGCTTTAACCCTTCCAGCATGGAATATTTCCTAGCTATAGTACAGTTAGCTTTTTTTTTTTTTTTTCCTTTTTACTATTATCTGTCTTTTTCTCTGATTCCTTGGACTTTACACAAGTCAAAGCGTCTGCCTTTTTTCTCTCTCCAGCTCTGTAACTGGGTCTTCCAGTGCAGCCTTTTCAGCTTCTCCTGCGTGGGGCATAGCATAGCTTTTATGATGTAAAGTGGCTGCTCTCTTTCTCCAGGTACTTCCTTTGAGTCTAGAGAAGGTAAAAGATTTTCTAACCTTTGCATAACTTTTAACAACTCTTTACATACCCGCAACATATCCCTACATTTACAACATAGCTGTGGCCCCCGCTTTCGCGTGGCTGCCCTCTTTTTAGTAACCCATTGCAAAAACCACATCAGCGCCGCCATTATCGCTCTTCTAAAACAGTCTCAGTTTTGTCATATCCTGTCGACTACGCCAATTCTGTGGCCCAAATTCTCTCTGGGTCTCATGCGTGATCAGACAAACTATATAATATATTTTATGTAAGTTTATTAACTTACAAAGGAACAAGTACCCAGTGCCTAGCCTCATGCCACTGCAACTCAGAGCCCGCCTTATCAGACCATGCCACGCCCATAGCCCCACTAGCATTCGTTCATGCCTCTGGGACCAGCGATCTCGTCCCAAGTCCATAGGGAATAGGGAGTCAGTCCATTCTGTCTTTGAGTTTCTGCACTGGCTGCTAGTTTCCTACACCATCACGCTCTACCCGCGGCTCCTGGCTTCCATCCCAAGATGGCTCCCAGCTTCTCTTCCTACTTTCCACTCCTGTCAGGCCCCGCCCATTGGAGGAACCAGCCAATTTGGAGACAGAGGTAAAGCTCACTCACTCTTTTAAGTATACAGCTCAATGAGTTCTGGCAAGTATAGGCAATGGTTTAATCATAAGGCTGTAGAGCAGTTCCATCACTGCCCAAAGTTCCCCAGGGCTTCCTGATAGGCCATCCCTTCCCCCAACCTGGACACCTGGTGGCTGCTGCTGTTTTCTGTGTCATGGCTTTTCTAAGCATCACGGGTTGTAGCTGTTTGAAGCTGGTGTCTTTCACTGAGCACATGCATCTGAAAAATGTGGCACATTTCAAATGTTGGTTTCTTTTTATCACTGATGGTCTGTGGGACATATATACTATAGTTCATTTGGCAGTTCTAAGACATGACATTGTTTGCAACTTGGAGCAGTTACGGTTAAATATGCTATCACTGCACACTGGCTTTTGTGCGGACCTGTTTTTGCCTGGTTGAGTAAACTTGAAGGATTGGAATTACTAGGCCCTAAGTGCATACATAAACGTGTGACTGAATAAGCCGTTGCCAAGCTGTATTCAAAAATGACCCTTCCATACCATTCACACAGGCCTGCTTGGTAGCACAGTATTGTCGGTTTTTCTTCTTTTACATTCCTTCATTTTGTGGTGGGTGTGTTGGGGGGACACACACATCTATAGACCATTTACAGGAGTCTGCTCTCTCCTTCCACCAGGTGGGATACAGGGATCAAACTCGGATTGGCAGGTTTGTGACCAATGAGTGCCCTAACCCACCTTGTCATCTTGCTGGTCCTGTCAGTTGTTTTAGAGCCTTCCTGATCTTGTGCATAGTTTTTGTCCAGTATAAACTGTGCCACAATAAATATCCTCATACATGAGTGCTTTGCTATTGTCTGTACATTTAGAGTGGTAGGTTAAGGGTGAGAAAGATTGTTGGATCCTGTCAAACAGCCTCTGGGTGGTGGTGTCAATTTGTCCACCCATCAAATTGGTATTGCCTGTCTTGCCACATCCTTACAAATGGTGTTACTCAGTCTGAATGTATGTTTTACTATTTATTTTAAAATTATCATTTATTATTTAAAGAGCTAAGATCTTATTATATTATTCTTGCGTGACTTTCCTAAGGAGATACTGAGGAAATGTCTATTCATCCCCAAAAGCAGAAACAGAAAAGGCAGACCAAAGAAAGATTTTGTTGAGTCCAGCCTAGTTGAGTAAATGAGTTTATTAGGGTTTTGTACAGGAGCATGAGTGACTCACCGGCAGCTGCAACCCTGTAAAGTCCCACCCCTCTGTCAATTTTTTACCTTTGATATACTTCAGCATTTCTAAGAGTCATCGTAACTGGAGCAGTATGATTGTTTATTTTGTTGCCATGACTGTGGGCCGAATTCTTCTGCAAGTTATCACAGGTGCTCTGCTTCGGGATGGCACTGGTCACGTCTAGCCCAGTGGAAGCTGCAACACCACAGTTGCCCTGGGTGGCCCAAGCTCCTGGCTCAAGTAATGGCGTCTCAGTCTGCAGAGAAGCTGGCACTACAGATATAGGCCACAACATCCAGAAAATGCATGTTTTTAAAGGAAATTTCGAGATCATCTGTGTCTCTACTTTTGGCAAGTGCTTAAAGCAGAGTGATGGATGTCGCATAATGGATGGTGATTACTACCAATCAAGCAAGTTCATTCTGCTTTGCCCAGAATTCCTCCTCAGTGTATTTATTCGGCAATGCCGTTCTCACCTGGGGAATCTTATTCATCTTCATAATTTCCTGAGGAGATGATCTGGTGTTCAGGCACTTTGGTTTCACATACTAGGGAAGCCTGACTGGATGGGATCTTTCTAAAGTTACATATATATGTAATGTGGTAAAAATTAAGTCTAATTGGAGCTGGGTGTGGTGGGGCACACCTTTAATCGAAGCACTCAGGAGGCAGAGGAAGTCGGATCTCTGTGAGTTTGAGGCCAGCCTGGTCTTCCTAGTGAATCCAGGCCAGCTGCTGCTACAGGGAGACCCTGTCTCAAAAAAACAAACAAAAAAAATTAAGTCTAATTGGAATGAGAATAGATTCTTCTAGAGTTCTGATGTTAGGTACTCTACTGTTCTTTTTCATATTGAGGCAGGGTTTCTTAATTGAACCCACAGCTTGCCAATTTATCTAATTTAGGAAGCCACCTCATCCTAGGGATCTTCTGTCTCTACCCGCTACGTGCTGGGATTAAGGTGGGCATGCACCAGCATTTACATGGGTGTTGGGGATTTGAACTCAGGTCCTCACATGTATGCAGCAAGCACTTTACCCACTGAGCCAGATTCTTTTAGGTTTTTATGGCTTTCACACTTTTTAATACTGCTACCCACTTTAATCTCACAGAAGCCAAGTATGGTGATACACACCTGTGACCCAGCACTTGGAAGGCTAATGAAAAGAGAAGGGTAAAGTTGAGGTTATCCTGGGGTACAGAGACCTGTTTAAAAAAATAAAATGCCTCAGGAACAAGAACATGCACGGCTTGTCCTGAGGCAAAGTTTTCAAACAACAAGCTAGGTATGGTGGCACTCACTGGTAATCCCAGCACTCAAGAAACCGAGGTGGGAGGATTGCTTTGGGTTCAACGCCAGCCTGGGCTAAATAGTGAGGTTCTTAGCCTGAGCTATAGGGAGGCACTGTCTCAAAAACTAAAACAGCACTCAGGAGGCAGAGGCAGGAGGATCTCCATGAGATGGAGGCCAGTCTAGTTCCAGGGCAGTTGAGCGAGCCTGTCTCAAAAAAACCAAAAACCAAAAACAACAAAAAACAAACAAACAAAAAACCATCATCTTCTATGGTTTCCAGTTCACTTAATTGAAAATTCGTCAATCGGCATTTACTAACGAACAGCCTTCTCCTACCGGCTGACCGCCAGCATTTTAAAAATCCAGTTTTAGAATCTAGGACAAGATGCTTCTTATTTAACTGTATCTTTTGACTTCCCTGGAAATCCCACTGGAGCCACACAGCTTTTTTCTTTCTTTCCTTTTCTTGGGATGCTAGATTTAGTCCTTCATCAGTTATTTCCACAAACAGCCTGAAGACTGCAAATATCCAACTGCATTAATGCTAGAGCAGCCTTTGAGGGGAGCTAGGTCTAGGTTGGGGTTTTCACCGATATTTGCCGTTAATCTTGGTGAAGGCTCGTTCACTACCGAAGCCTCAATTTCTTGCTCGGTAAAATGGGCATCATTGAGTGAGGCATGTTAAGGCTCTAGAGGTGCGATTCCCCAGGCTAGCAGCATGCAGGAAACTGACAGAAACGCAAATTCTCGATCCTAGCCCTAGATTTGCTAGGCCAGAAAACCCCAAGGGTGAAAGCGAGCAGTGTGTTCTAACAAGCCTTCCAGGTGAGTCTGATGCGGGTTTAAGGTGGGGATTCAGGGGCTGAGGACGCACTACCTAACGCAGCGGGTACACCGTAGAGCGCTCAGCTCCGCCACTGGAAAGTGGGGGTGGGGAGAGGGGTTGGGCTTGAACGTCTACGTCATGGCTCCGCCCTCTTTTCGCACAAGGCCCGCCTTACGCACTCGCTGATTGGGGAAGGCTCTCGTGGCGATTCGCCAATCACCGGGCCGTAGACACCATAAACAGAGACGGGAGGAACTGCGCGCTGCGAGAGCCGTACTCCTATTGGCTGCAGGCCACGCCGCTGAGCGGGGCGGAGCTGCACGTGCGCACTACTGAGCAACTCCAGCTGCCGTTGGAAAATGGCGGCTGTCGCAGAGCTGAAGGCTGGTGAGTGCGTGAGGGGGAGGCTTGCCTGTGGGAAGCGTCGCGCCTTCCGGTAGTGACAGGGAGGGGACAGAAGGAGAACGCGTGGGACACAGGCTCGGCTTTTTTCTCAGGGTCGTTCTGAGGTGACAGGGCCCTCGGGAAGCGGCCTCTGCGCGTGCGCTGTGGGAGGGAGCGGTTGGAACTGGAAGGGCCTGGCATGGAGTCCCTGAGCCGCCGCACCTCGGGCCACCCCGACATCTCCCAGGACCATGACAACACCACAGCTGTGACTGCTGACAGGCACAGTCCTCCAGGATCTGCACGGCTGGCGCATCCTGACAACCTGTGAAGAGGTCTTGGGGAAGGACCCGAGGCACAGACTTGCGCGCCCAGACCCCTCTCCTTCCGGATTTTTCGGAAGAGTTCCTCCAAAGTGGTTATGTACAGGGTGTGTGCAAGAGGCCCTGGGATCCATCCACAGTACTGCAAAAAAAATAACGCCTTTAGTACAGCACTCGGGAGGCAGAAGCAGGTGGATCTCTATGAGTTCGAGGCCAGCCTGGTAAGCCCTGGGATCCATCCACAGTACTGCAAAAAAAATAACGCCAGCCTGGTCTACATAGCTAATTCCAGGTCAGCTGGGGCTACAGGGAGACCCTGTCTCAAAAGGACCAAAAAAAAAAAAAAACAACAAGCCAAACCAAACAGTAGTTATCAATGACTTGTGTGTGCGCTCACCTCCGAATTGTAACTACAGTTTATTACTAATGACTTAACTCCAGTTAAGGATTGGTGAGCAAGCCCTGGGTCAGGCACTTCAAAACTCATCCATCAGCTACTTGATTCGGTGTAACAACACTATGCCCATTCATACGCTGGGAAATTGAGGCTTCAGGAGGTGAGATCGCTCACCTAAGCTAATTTAGCTAGAAATAGGCTGGATGTGCAAACCCTGATAAGGTGCACCAGAGCACCAGGTCTTAATCACCAAGTCATTCTGCTGCCCAGTGAATAAAAGCAACTGCGTTCCTAAGAGCTCCGAGACTAAGCCTGTGATAGTAGGTGTTTGGAGAGGACCTGGCAGAGTAGCTTGGAGTCTATGATTCAGTAACCATCAATGTACCATGTGTATTGGGGCCACTGTATTGGTGTGTAGTCCCCAAACAGGCATGCATTGGTCCACAGGAACAGATGTTACATGAATCCACATAGACCCTCTTCTTAGGGAGATACAAACCACATATAAAATGTAAACTTTTTCATGAGATTTCAAGATAATTCTGTGGGAGATTAGGTTAAAACTGCTTCCTGAAGTTTTTATGGTAACATAAAAACAGCAGTAGAGAGAGTGATAGAGAACTTCAGGAGATGACAACCTTAGAGATTAGGGGTGTCCTGTTCAAATTTAGGGGACCCTGTATGTATGTATTCTGCATTCCCAAGCTCTTGGTATGCTTTGTGTCCACAGTGAAAGCTTGTTTGCTAATCATTGCTCTTAATTTCTATGGGATTTTTAACTTTTTTAAAAAATTATTTTTATTTTATGTGTATACATGTTTTGCCAGCATGTAGGTAAGTGCACCCCTGTCATGCAATGCCCTCGGAGGACAGAAGAGGCTGTCAGATCCCCTGGAACTGGCGTTACTAAGGACAGTTTTTAGCTGCCATGTGGATGCTGGGATTCGAACCTGGATCTTCTGCAAGAACAGCCACTGTTCTTAACCGCTGAGCCATCTCTCCAGCCTGAGATTTTTAACTTTTAAAGGCACTCCTGTGGGGCTGGAGATATGGCTCAGTGGTTAAGAGTGCTTGCTGCCCTTGTAGAGGAAGGACCCAGATTCAGTTCCCAGCACCCATGTTAGATGACTCACAACTACCTATAACTCCAGTTTCAGAGAATCCAATGCCTTCTACGCTCACATGAACATATGCAGACACATACACATAAATAAAAATTTAAAATATATCTTTATTTATTTTTTTGAGGCAGAATCTTCCTGTAGCCCCAGCTGGCCTGAAACTCAGCTATATAGACCAGACTGGCCTCAATCTCACAGAGATTTCTCTGCCTCTGCCTCCTGTGTGCTGGGATTAATGGCATGTATCACAGTATCACACACCTAGCTGGTTGATTTTCTTTTTTTTAATGAGTATGAATGTTTTGCCTGTATGTATGTAAGTGTATACAATGCCTGCAGAGGCCTGAAGAGGACATTGGATCCCCTGGAACTGGAGTTAGCTGCCAGTGGTTGTTAGCTGCCATGTGGGTGCTGGAAACTGAACCTGGGTCCTGTGTAAGAGCAGTCAGTGCTCTTAACCACTGAGTCATCTCTCCAGCATGCACGTGTGTGTGTGTGTGTGTGTGTGTGTGTGTGTGTGTGTGTATATATATATATATTTTTTTTTTAAACAATCTTTCATCTCCCCTGGTTTCCTTGAAAGGTAGAATTCATTCTCTCAGAGAAAGCAACTAAGGCATGGGTTGGAAGTCTACCCCCAAGGTCATGAAGGACTCGTTGTATTTCCTAATTCCAGCTTTATTATTATTTTCTGCTAACTTTGAAGCTGTACTGTGTGTACTACAGAGTAATTGGGACAGGATGTTTGCCAATGGAAAAGAATCTTTCCATCTAGTTTCCAAAGATGGAACTAGAGAACAGGGGTTCAGTTATGATCCTGAGTGTGATAAAGCTTCCTTTTCCTTTTATGGGCCTGTTGCAAAGTATGATTAGCTGATAAATATGCTTACCATACCTGCAAAAAAAGGTTGGTATGATGCTTTTGAAATAAGGGGGAAGAAAGATGATAACTCTAAGGATTTCTATGTCCTTAATTACATGGCCAAAAATCATTGTTGTCTCTTAAAAACTTTTCTATCCATACCTGCATGGATAAGCTGCCTTTATGAATTTTAATTATTGTGGCATATTAATTTTTTGTCATTAGCGGGGCAGAGTATGCTATTAAGCTACATTTATTTCACCACATTTATACAGCACTATGTAAACTCTGAGGTAACATTTAGTGAGATCTTGCTGTATTCTGGACACAGTAGATGTGTTGATTCTCTGGAATTGCCATTTAGTCACAAAGAGCTATTTGAAAAAGGAAGATTCCAGATTGCTTTTAAGGAATGGTGATGGTTCATCCCAGTCCCTTCATCTACCTATACTAAGTCCTTAGAGTTAAAACTCATTATCTCAACTTCTGATGTTTGTCATAGTATACCTACTTAACTAGACATTAGCTTATGTCTGTCATATACATTCCTGACTCCTTATGTTAGCAGTGATGCAGTCGTATGTTAGAATCTCATATTATATTTCTAACAAGGCTTGAAATGTCACAATCCTACTGTTGGGCTAAGAGGATGTAGTGCCATTGGAAGAGTGCTTGCCTTTCATGCAAAAGCCCTAGGTTGAATCCCTAGCTCCATATAAACTGTGTGTGGACATACACCTGTAATCCCAGCACTTGAGAGGTAGAGACAGGAGAATCAAAAATTCAAGGTCAACCTTGGCCTATATAGGGAGTTTAAGGTTACCTTGGGCTTCAGCCTGGATATGAAGCCCAGGCTGGTCTCCGCTTCCTAAGTACTGGGATTACAGGTACGTGCTACTCCTGGCAAAAATTGTCATAAAGTCAAAAACATCTTTCATTCAGAATCAGCTATTCCTTAAGGATTATGGATACCAAAAATTTTAAGGCAAAAACAAAACTGACGTATTCCCTTCTTTTGTGGAGGGTAGTTGTTTCTATAATCTAAACGAGAGGCTATTAATGATGCCTAAATCCCACCTAGATTGACAAACACTTGGAAATCTGTGGGCAGTTGGGGAGTAAACTCAGGTCCCATTTCAGCCAACTGTAATTCTATTTTTGCCATCTAAGAATATGTATCAAATATGTACCAAACTGTAGTCCCTCACTAAAGATACAGTATGGATAAACTTGAATTTACACAAGTATATTGCCAGTGGATCATTGAAATTTGGGAACTTAACTTTTTACAAACATGGCTTGTGGTACTGCTAATACTGTGCAGCTTATCACTATAATCAAGAGCAGCATTTATGTCATGTACTGTTGTAACATGTGTCTTTAGCACATGCCTGAGGATGACAAAATTAAGTCTATAACTGAAGCATTAACATTTTGTATTTAACAGTTTTAAAGGACACCCTGGAAAAAAGGGGGGTGTTAGGGCATTTAAAAGCAAGGATCCGTGCTGAAGTTTTCAATGCCTTGGATGATGATCATGAACCCCGACCATTATTGTCTCATGAAAACCTTCTAATTAATGAATTAATTCGGGAATATTTGGAATTCAACAAATATAAATATACAGCCTCTGTCCTCATAGCAGGTAAGTAGTTTATCACCTGAGAAAAGATCTTCTTCACCCTTTTCCCTTATTTTCAGCCCGAAACTGTAATTTTATTGCCAAACAGTGTCAGACGGGTGACTGAAACCTTAGCATCCCAAGGGTCTTGTCATAGTGTGAACAAGTTCTCATGAGCCATATGGTTCTTTAATATTAAGCCTACACCTCCATAGAGGATAATGACTTTGACAGGTTGAAGGTCTTCAGTGTCAATATCTTAATCTCTTTCAGCTTGGTATAGCTGGCTGTATAATACTATTAACACTCAGAAAAGAAGAAACATTGGGAAATACCATCGGCTAGGTATTTGGGCATTGGGCTTCCTTAGAATGAAATATGGTGGATAAAATGGTACAACCATAACATTTTCCCTGACTTTTATCTCTGTGAATAGGAAAATGCTGTGTCTGTGCCATTTTATCTACTATCATAGACATTTTGGTTGTTTGTGCCTTTTGACAGTTATGAATCAAGCCCCTATAAACAACTGTGTGCAAGTTTTTGTGTGAACATCAAGTTTGTGTTTTGTGGGTAATAAAGAGTGGACTTGTTAGTTGTGTGAGAAGTGAATGCTTACCTTCAGGAGAAACCTAGCAGCCGCTTTTGAGCGGCTCTGCTATCACGCTTTTGCATCAGTGAAGGATCAGTTTCATTGACTTGCACCTTTGCCAGCACTTCGTATTGAGTTTAAGAGCTGTGTGTGGTAGCTCACATATATAGTCCTGGCACTGAGGAGGCTGAGGCAGGAGAATCACTTTAAGTTAAAGACCAGTCTAGGTCACACGCTGAATTTGAGGCCAGCCTAGGCTACAGAGTGAGCCTCTGTTTAAAAATAATAAAAATAATTTTATTTTTAGAGTATTACAGCCCCTGAATGCACGCATTTAAAAAATGAGTTATTTAGTATTGTCAATGTGTTTAATCTGTAGGCTTCCCAGAAAACATACTGAAGTCCAGCATTGTAGTTTTAGAGGCAGAAACCGTATTTCCAATCACAAATTGAGGGATTTAAAAAGTGAGTATGTACAAACTATATTAAATTGTGCGTTTAACAACATGGTATGTCTTAACGTCATAAAGTCATATGCAGTTGTATCTGCTGTAACCATTCTTCCAAAGTCCGAGAAATGTGTGTGCCTGGGAAGTATAGTTATTATCAAAATCACACTGCTTTTTAGATCAAGAGACTCAGTGTTTTCATGAATTTTTTTTTACCCCCAGAATCTGGTCAACCTGTAGTTCCACTGGACAGACAGTTTCTCATCCATGAACTAAATGTCTTTGAAGAATCAACGGATAACACAATGTAAGAAGATTTATAAATAGGATTGCAGGCATTATATTGGGATCCTAATTGCATGGTACTGGCTGTTTCATTTAATTAAATTTAAACCTGAGCAGGGACTTGCTCAGGTTTACTGTGTGTCACACACTGTACACAATCCAAGAATTGCAACAGCAGACAAGTCATGTGAGGTCTGTGCTGCTGCTAAGCTTCCCTCCCTCCCCCCCTC